CTTCGCGGAACGGGAAGGTGCAGGTTCCACTCAAGAGAGCTACCGCTGCCATGCTCCCTGTCGACCCTGACCCAACATCGCTACAGTCGGACCTAGGTCTGAAGGACATCATTCAAGAACAAGAGACCCTCCGCTGGCCAAAACACACAACACATCCCAAGGTACCCTCCCCAAGATGCAAAATGACATTTAACAGACACGAAGAGCACTAGGGCACCATCCATCCGCGAACCGACCTCGATCTGATACCTCGGTCCGACTGTACGAGAGAAACCCTCACCGATCGTGTCTCACGCCTCCTCTCCTCAGCCGGCTCCACCATCTCGTCCATCGCCTCAGCTTCCCCATCAGACTCCAACTCCGCGCCTGTATTATTCCACATCCATCTCCCTCCTCTTCTTTCTCCTCCTCCTCCTCCTCTTCCTCCTCCTCCGTTCCTCCTCCTCTCCATCTTCGTCTCCAGCGCGCCCTAGCCTTTCATTGGCCATGTGCCGATGAGTGCTCGTCGGGTCCGTACGATTCGAGCTAATCAAGAAGGCGATCGGCCAACGAGCGCATAGCAATCCCACCAGTCTGTCTTGTTTTCGCAAGTTCGTTCTTCCAGCCCTCTTCTTCCCCTTGTGGGGGGTGCGTTGCCCCTCCTTGCCCCCCACGCCAAAGACTTTCTCCCACGCCTGGCGACGCCTGCTGCGAGCCTTCTGGGAGCCGCCTGGTGGAGGCCACTCGGGGGTCCCTGGAAGGCGTCTCGTGAACCTGCTGGGGGTCTCTTGGGGCCTTTTTGGTGTAAATGGCGCTGGCTGGATGGACACTTGGCCTTTTAGAGGATGTGGACGTCCTTGATCCTCTGGGCTCTATTCAAACTTCTCGTGGAGTAGCCATCCTGGACGCATTCTGGACCCGTCTTGGGCTCGATCGGCTACCTGCGGCCCCAAGCGCCCTTAAGGAACGAAGCAGCGAGACGGCAACACTCCATGGTTTCCCGCTGCTGGTTGCAGCGAATTGACCTCTCGGGGGCCTCCTCGGCATGGAGACACGCGCGTACCAGCCGTCACTCGGCGCGCCCAACGCGGGCAAACCCAAACAAGAATGACCTTCGGCGTGCGGTTTCACGGGGGCGCGGGGCGCGAAGTTTGTCGCCCCGGAGCAGGCAAACTGTTGACATCTTAGTTCTATTCAGAATTTGAAGCCCGGCGACCCTTTGGCTTCCGTGGCACGCTGTCGTCGACTTTTTCTTCGTCGCCGTCTACGGAAGCAAGAACTGAGAGAAGGAACGTCATAGTGAAGTCGACTCCCTCCCGTTTTCCCCTCTGGCCGAGAGAGGGGGGGGCATGGGGGGGGGGATGGGGGGGTTAAAAGAGGGTCAAGGGGGTGGGATGGGGGGGGGATCAAAAGAAGGATGGGGGGATAAAAAAGGGGATGGGGGGGGGATAAAGAGAGGGTTCAGGAGGGGTTGTCCCGGGTCAGGTTACCGCCCCCCCTGGGGGTCCTGGCGGGCCCCGAAGGGGTTCCCCCTGCGGACACGGGGACAAGGGGACACCCCCCCACACGGGGAGAAGAGGTTGCTCAGCCGGGGAGAGGAATGGTTCTCAAGTGTTGAAGTCGGAAAGGGTTACCTGGTGTAGCTTCCCGAAGGTGAGGAGCTCTACACATGCCCCTAAGAAGCCTCTGCGAGGCTCCCAACAGGCCTCTGCGAGGCTCCTGAGGAGGCCTCTGCGAGGCCCCAAATAGGCCTCTGCGAGGCTCCTAACAGGCCTCTGCGAGGCTCCCAAGAAGCCTCTGCGAGGCTCCTCAGAGGCCTCTGCGAGGTTCCTGAGGATGCCTCTGCGAGGTTCCTAAGAAGCCTCTGCGAGACTTCTCAGAAGCCTCTGCGAGGCTCCCCTCTGCGAGGCTCCCAACAGGCCTCTGCGAGGCTCCTAAGAGGCCTCTGCGAGGCTCCCAACAGGCCTCTGCGAGGCTCCTAACAAGCCTCTGCGAGACTCCTCAGATGTCCTAGGGTTCTTCGGAACCTATCAATTCCTTTGTTCGCACGAAGCCCCAAAAAGGTCCCGAGACACTCGGGATCCATTAGGAGCGCAATGGGAATACTATAGGAACCGAGTGGGATTTCAATCGGGATAGTACATGGTCACATTAGGAACGAGGTACACCAGGAAAACGAAAAGGATACAGCATGATAGGAAAACAATATGAACAGTTTGGATTTGGATCACAATCGGAGTACACTAGGAGAACCGCACTGAGGAATCCTCAGGAATGCTGAGGCAGCTTGAGGGACCCTGCGCGCCAATTGGATTTCGAAAAAGATGTTCGCAAGGTCAGCTCCACGGTGGGCACTTCAACGCATGTCCCGAGAGTTCGCTGGCATCCTGAAGGCGAAGCCACAAAGGGCCACACTGGAGCCAAGTAGGAACACAGTATGATTTCAACCGGGAAGCGTCGCATTGGATTCCCAAAGGGCTTCGATCGGAGTCCGATAAGATCCCAATAGGAAGAGATCAGGCTGGATCCCGATGGGATCCAATTGGAACCCAAACCAGTGCCAATGGGAAAGAACCCTATTGGACTCGATTGGGATTCCAATCGGATGCCCCTGGTACTTCATTGGATTCTCCTCGGGTTACAATGGGATTCCAATAGGGCCTCCCCGAGAACACCAATTAGAAGGAATCCGATGGATGATTCGGTTAGGAACGAAAGATATTTCGAACGGGACGAGGATTCTGAGCACCACAGACTCCGAATGGAACCCGTCATATTTCCCAACCATCCTGTGGCGTTAGGTCCTCGCTTTGAAGAGACCACGTCCCGCGTTCTCACTCCTCCTCCTCCCCCCCTCCTCCCTCTTCCCATCCACCTCGGCATCGTCATCGTCAGCGTCATCATCGGCATCATCATCGCAATCGTCATGATCCACATCATCATGAACATCGCCATCGCCATCGTCAGCGCCGCGCCCCTCACACGGCTCGTGGCCCCACAGGGAGCTCCACCAAAGGCCCCAATGGCAAGGTCCGCATGCGGGGACCGCCATCCGTATTGGCGCACCCCTCACACGGTTCATGGTCCCATAGGGAGCTCCACCGAAGGCCCCAGTGGCAGGGTCCACATGGCGGCGCCGCCCCATTTTGGCGCACCCCTTCACACGGTTCGCGGCCCCATAGGGAGCTCCACAGACGGCCCTAGTGGCAGGGTCCACGTGGCGGCGCCGCCTCATTTGGGCGCAACCCTCACACGGTTCGTGGCCTCGTAGGGAGCTCCGCCGAAGGCCACAGCGGCAGGGTCTGCATGGCGGCGCAACCCCATTTTTGCGCACCCCTCCCACGGTTCGTAGTTCCATAGAGAGTTCCACCGAAAGCCCCAGTGGCAGGGTCCACATGGCAGCGCCGCCACATTTCGGCACAACCCTCACACGGTTCGCGGTTCCATACGGAGCTCCACCAAAGGCCCCAGTGGCAGGGTCCGCACATGGCGCCGCCGCCCCATTTTGGCATATGTCTCACACGTTTCGTGGCCCCATAGGGAACTCCACCGAAGGCCCCAGTGGCAGGGTCCACATGGCGGCGCCGCCCCATTTTGGCGCACGCCTCACACGGTTCGTGGCCCCATAGGGAGCTCCACCGAAGGCCCCAGTGGCAGGGTCCACATGGCGGCGCCGCCCCATTTTGGCGCACCCCTCATACAGTCCGTGGCCCCATGGTGAGCTCCACCGAAGGCCACAGCGGCAGGGTCCACATGGCGGCGCCGCCCCAGTTTGGGGCACAACTCGCACGCTTCGTGGCCCGGTAGGGAGTTCAGCGAAGGCTCTAGTGTCAGGGTCCACATGGCGGCGCCGCCCCATTTTGGAGCACCCCTCACACGGCTCGTGGCCCCATAGGGAGCTCCACCGAAGGCCCCAGTGGCAGGGTCCGCATGGCGGCGCCGCCCCATTTTGGCGCACCCCTCACGCGGTTCGTGGCCTCTTAGGGCGCTCCACCGAAGGCCCCAGTGGCAGGGTCCACATGGCGGCGCCGCCCCATTTTGTCGCACCCCTCATACAGTCCGTGGCCCCAAAGGGAGCTCCATCGTAGGCCCAGGTGGCAGGGGCTGCATGGCGGCCCCGCCCCAGTTTGGGCTCCACCGAAGGCGCCAGCGGCAGGGTCCACATGGCGGCGCCGCCCCATTTGGCGCACCCCTCACACGGCTCGTGGCCCCATAGGATGCTCGACCGGAGGCCCAGGTGGCAGGGTTCAAATGGCGGCGCCGCCCCATTTTGGCACACCCCTCACACGGTTCGTGGCCCCATGGGGAGCTCCACCGAAGGCCCCAGTGGCAGGGTCCACATGGCGGCGCCGCCCCAGTTTGGGGCACCACTCGCACGCATCGTGGCCCCGTAGGGAGTTCACCGAAGGCTCTAGTGTCAGGGTCCAAATGGCGGCGCCGCCCCATTTTGGCACACCCCTCACACGGTTCGTGGCCCCATGGGGAGCTCCACCGAAGGCCCCAGTGGCAGGGTCCACATGGCGGCGCCGCACCAGTTTGGGGCACCACTCGCACGCTTCGTGGCCCCGTAGGGAGTTCACCGAAGGCTCTAGTGTCAGGGTCCACATGGCGGCGCCGCCCCATTTTGGCGTACCCCTCACACAGTTCGTGGCCCCATGGTGAGCTCCACCGAAGGCCCCAGTGGCAGGGTCCACATGGCGGCGCCGCCCCATTCTGGCGCACCCGTCACACGGCTCGTGGCCCCATAGGGAGCTCCACCGAAGGCCCCAGTGGCAGGGTCCGCATGGCGGCGCCGCCCCATTTTGGCATATGTCTCACACGTTTCGTGGCCCCATAGGGAGCTCCACCAAAGGCCTCGGTGGCAAGGTCCACATGGCGGCGCCGCCCCATTTTGGCGCACGCCTCACACGGTTCGTGGCCTCATAGGGAGCTCCACCGAAGGCCCCAGTGGCAGGGTCCACATGGCGCCGCCGCCCCATTTTGGCGCACGCCTCACACGGTTCGTGGCCTCATAGGGAGCT